CACACACAGCTATAATTGTTAGACTGATAACCTCAGGCCCAACCCAGCTCCCACTGAAGTCAATGGAAAGTTTCAATAGAAGACTTTGGGAGATGAATCTAAGGTTCTTAATGGCCCAAGCTGATTGGTTTGCAGTTTGTCACCCTCTTACCTACAAAAGTCTCCCCTACAAACCAGGATTAAAGCATACTGGAGCATACTGGTTTAGAATAATCTTGCATCACCAAGAGGACTTCAGTCCTCAGAACTTTCAACATAATAATTTTCAGAAGCAAAAAAATTACACATAAATACAACAATTTAAAAAAAAGCAAATGTGGAATTTTTCAAATTCTTTGTCATTGTTCCATTTCTGCCCTTATTGAATTCAATAGTAAAATTTCCAGTGGCTTCAAGGAGAGCAGATTTGGACCTATACTGGGTGACTGAAAATCCCAGCTATAGGACTCGAGATGTTTTAAAATATGAACTCACATCACAACTACATTACTTTACAGAAATGATGGTATTTATATTTGATAATATATTTGAAAGCAGTTAGGAGGAATAGGATTTTCTAAAACTATGTCTGTTTCCTCTATAATCTTTTGTTTAAGTTCCAACATTGTGTTTTCTCACACATTTCTTTGATGCCTGAGACTGCAGCACATTGAGCTGGAGTGGCAAACTCCTGGCTAGCAGGAGCCCAGAGGTCAGCCTTGCAGCCCAGAGCTGCTCTGACCTGGTTCAATGTGCTGTGGAGGGGCTGGCTGGGGCATGAGGGTGCTACAGTGTGGGGCTAGCCAGCAGGCAGCCCCACACTGTAGCACTCTCATGCCCCAGCCATCCCTGGTTGGCATCTACATGTGTATTGCAGTGGAGTAACCAACTCTGCTGTATGATAGTACTTGTGTTGGGCAGTGCTATCCTATAGTGGAGTTAATTAGTTTACTCTGGCCTAACAGCACCACACATGTAGATGCTGATGCTTTATCACAGAGCTAATTAGTCAGCTCACAGTAAATATCTTATGTCTAAATCTTTCTAATCTCAAGGATCCTTCCCATCCCACATTCCACTAAACAACTAGCACCAAGAATTCATCAGAAGTTTGAGTGTTCCCATTGAAACTGACAGTAAAACTCCCACTGACTTCTGTAGGCAGGACTGGGCCTGGGCCTCTTTGCTGTCTTTCTCAGCTCTTTTCTTTTCTAAGAAGAGGTTTCTACTTAGGTTTAGCAACCTGTCTTCAAAACCAATGGTTAACAGTATTTTTATTTGGAGGAGTTGTTAAACAGTAGTGGCATTACTGCTATTTTCCATGGTAGGAGTGATTAACTACAGAGAATGGGCCAACATTATGACAATCGGGTAGTGGAGTTTGCGACAAGCATCATCTGATTTGGGTGTTAAGAGGAGAAAAGCTTGTAAATGATATCAAAGCTTAAGGTCTGCAAAGGTGTTACCGAAAAAGCTCAAGGAAAGCAGGGGTGCTGAATGGGTCTGCAGAAGCCATTTTTCTTACCCAAGTGACCCAACCTTGGTCATATGGCTACACCTAGGATCTGAAGGACCTTTCTGGGAAAAGCAGCAGCAGCAGTAGCAGAAATGTGTAGCATTACTGTAGTGTCAAAAAGGGCAAGGAATCAATGAAAGAAACAAACATACATGCAATTTTTTTGTGTAGAAAGAACACGCCAAATTTATTTTATTTTTAACTTTAAAATTGATGGAGCTGAAGTCCACCATGATCACAAACTATTATATTTATATCCCATTTCAAGTTCAACTCTGCTTTGAAGAGGTACCTTCTGATTATTGCTAACAGGATAAGAAAATTAAACATGCATAAACATTGAAGTAGAGTTATGATAAAAAATCATTTTTTCATAGAATTAATAATCTACTAAAGCAGTATATTACATTGCTGGTATCCAGAGTTCTTTACATAGGTCAAGGTGCTGATAATGATATGCACTTTTGGACTTGGCACTTCACGCATTCCTCATCATCATGTACAATGAATATGTCATAAGCATAGTGTACTTTGGATTGTGTCAGCTCATAGAGTTCAGTAATATAAGAATAACAAGTCATTTCCATATTTTCATTTCCTTTTGCTCTTCCCCAGAATGTAATATAGTTTTAAAACATCTTTTTAGAAAATGGCTATTTTTAACATGCCAAAAATGACAGCTTCCTGTCTTTCACTGCCAGGTCCCACTTGTCAGGCTGAATTATTCTGTTTCTATTGATACTTCCTCCTTCATTTGTAGGTAGGGTGGATGGGGAACTGCACAATGCTGAGGCTATTTTAAAAGTTACAGCTGGCAATCTACCAAATAAAGCTGAAAGAAGATTCAGTAAAAGAAGTGAAAATGAAAAAGATGAACAGTTTGTGAGCAATTATTTTCAAAATGTTGCATGAAAGAGTGATACAGAGGCTGGGGGAAGAGAGAGAGTGAGAATGTTAAAAAATTGCTTGAGAATGCAAGAGAAAGCACATATATGAAGAAAGGTAATTTAAGGAACCAAGGCAATGATCTGTTAGAAATATGAAGACAAAGTTACAGAAAACCAAATGAATGGAAGATTCAATAAGATAAAAGCAAATAAGTTAATTTATATGGAAGATAAGGGCAAAGGCCATATCTGCTTATGGGCTAGTACTGAAGTTTTAGTTTTAAAACAATCTGAGGGAGAATCAAATGAAAAATATTTAAAAGCAAAATGAAATAGTAGTAGGCAGATTAAGTATAGAGCTTCCTGAAACTAAGGGATAAGGTTTATTAAAGGCAGTGGTTTTTAACCTTTTTAAGATTCGAGGTACACCTCAATAGACTCAAGGCACCCCTCAGAGAATACCAGCTTAGTTTGCACTTGTTTTTATTGATTACAGAAAAATAATACATCAGTTCTTCTATTGCAAATAACTCAGAAAGGCCACAGTGGGTTGGAATGGTTTTAACACTAGGGATTCTTATTTGAAATCTCTGGGTTTATGTTGTGAATCATGTTTGCTGTGGCAACCTAGTTAAGAATCACTGATTTACAACCATCCATAGCAGTGAAAATAAACCTAAATCTTTGAAAACTTAATTAAAACCTTCAGGAGCAAGAAAAGTAGAAGAAATTAGCTCTAGCTTTCTACCAGATCATCCTCAAAGTATAAAAACCCAACTCCCCCACTCCCCAACAAAAAAAAAGTTGACTGCTTTTGGGATAATGATTTATACTCATAACTTTTTAACTTTTTATAGCCAGAAATTACACTGCAAGGGCCTCATGGCTTCTTTAGAGTCTTATCCAAGACAAACCTGAAACTTGAAAATTTTAACAAACATTTTAAAGTCAACAATCAGGAAAAAGTAACAAGAAAGGTAGTTTTCTGGGCCTTCATCTGAGATCTAAATGATTGCCCTTTTGTAAATATTGCAAATGACTATATTTAAACATATGTGAACCTCAAGGATTTGAAAGACTGGTTGTTAGTCATAGGATTAGTGAAAATGAGTGGTAAGCTAAACCTCCTTTTTTGGCAATAAGGGGGCAGTGAATTATGGTAAATGTATATGTACTTAGTCCACAGAACTGGAAGAGCACAGAT